GCCCTGTAACTGCAGACTAGGTCCATCAACCGCCCCGTGTCAACGTGCTGCGACACTCCTCCGGTTCTATGCTCTTCCTGAATCCCACAATAATTCCTAGCTGTTTCAAGACAGACATCTGTATGACTTGAACTGGCTGTGGATATGTTTGTAGGCATCTTATAGTAAACTCCTCACAGCCCCATCCCATCCTATTAGATCAAAACTTCTTAAGAGCAGACATTTCAATTGACTTCTTTGATGTATCGACAGGCATCCAAACATCAAAACAGTCCTGAGATTTTATGATTTTGTGTTTCTTAGCACAGATATTGCAGATTAACATTATATCGATTAAAATGTAGTTAAAAACTGGAGAAAAGATGATTAATTGCCTTTATGAATCTTCTATGGATATATATACAAAAGATATCCTACACAGTTAAAATTCAGATAAACAGCAATGAACTTTTTCAGAACATATAAAAAAAATCAGTTCTCAAATGCTCATATTCTGTTGAGTCAGAAACGAAACACAATATACACTTGAATTGATCTGCATTTTATTCCTTTCACTGTAACTGGCATTAGGATAAAAAACTAGGAGATGAGTCTTGCAAGGAAATCTATGATAATCAGACTCCAAGGTCTCATTTCTATCATTATTTATCATAAATAATTATCCACATTTTACTTATTTCATCTATTTAAATCTTATCAATTGTGTTAAACTGATTAAAATGGTCTAATTAACTGTTTTAGAAATTTTGGGGGGTATCATAGGATTAAGATATTTAATAAAACACATTTTGTGGTTAAAGTCTCAGAAGAATCCCTTCAGTGTGAAGTTCTACTTCCCGAACCCCCAGTAACACGCAGTTCATTCTGCAGCCCCAGCAAATCACTGAGGTGAACATTTCTTCCTGATGCCACCAGGACATAGCATAAAACGTATTCTAACTCCATGCCATGAAATTAAAACAACAGACCATGACTGGTAGGAAATTATGGGTCTATCTCACTTTCGTGAAGATTTTTAAAAAGTAACATTTATGGAGAAAGTGATGAATGTTACATCTTTCACACACCTACAATGATGAAAGAACTCTTTTCACTTACGCCAGCAACTCTGCCACATGGGAAGATTTCTGTTCAATTTGAACAAAGAGACTCTGAGAGAAGTTAAATCTGGTCAGATCACACAGAATGGGAAGTTTGAAAAGCAAATGGAAGGGAATTAGGTGACAATTATTCAGATAATTTAAGATGTCCTGATCCTGAAAGCATTTGGCATTGGTACTTGAAGACCTCGGTACTCAAGAGCAGCCCGTGTATGAACAGCATCAGCATCTTGTTGGAGCCAAAAACTCTCAGGACCCAAGCCAATCCCACTGAACTAAAATCTTCTTTTTTGAGAAGATCCTCAGGTGATTCAAATGCACATTACAGTTTTAGAAGTGCTACCACTGCCGGGAATTACTTTGAAAGCTTAGGGCTAAAAAGATACCCCATGATTGGAAGGAAACCAACATAGTTCATGTATTTTTATAGAGAGATCATAGCAAATCTTCTCTAGAATGGCTGTCCTTAAGGGCAAGGATTGTATTTGATTCTTTTTTGCATCCTCAGCATCTATTATAATGCCTGGCACAATCTGGCCCAGTGAGAAGGGAGGAATAAATGATTGTAAAACAAAAATAGTCAAGTCAGTGATGCGACAGTACCTGCTAAACGGTTAAGAGGGTTGGCTCAATGGGCGAGTACAGGACATGCAATAAAGACACATGAAAAGCAGAATGAGGGAAAACATGAAACACACAGGAAAAAGCTGTCATGGAAGGAAGCACACAACAATATGCATAACCTGATAATTTGATAACTGTGTAAAGAGCAAATGTGATATTGCAATGCATAAATATTTTCATTATGCTAAGACATGTGATTGGTCTATGATCCTGGTCAAATTTTACTAGAATTCTGTGCTCTTTGACAAAGAATCTAGAATGTAAAGTAGGTTTAAGATAATAATCACTTGAGAGAATTAAGAGAATTAGATGACAGTCCAGAGAATGCTAAGTTATTTAAAAATATTTGCTGAGCATAAAGCCTGAAGTGCAATGCTAAGTATCCAGAGTTAGGTCAAGTTTCACAGGTTATGGGCACAATCTCCATGAAGACTGCCCTCACCTCAGACACCAGCTGCAAGCTCTGAGGTTCCCAGGCCGCTCGCACTTGTTACCAACTGGCTACAAATTTGGGGGGTTCCCACTATCCCCTCAGGTTCAATAGTTTGCTAGAACAACTCATAGAACTCAGGAAAGCCCTGTACTTTCCATTACAGTTTTATTATAAAGAATACAAATCAGGACCAGACCAAAGAAGAACTGTGGGGCAAGGTCTGCGAGGATTACAACACTAAGCTGCCACATGCTCAGAAAGCATCACCCTCCCGGCACGTCAATGTGTATCTCCAACCAGGAAAGCTCTCCCAAGACTTGCTGTCCAGAGTTTTCCTTGGGGTTTCACTATGTAGCCATAATGGACTGATTCATCGGCTATGCAATTGAACTTGATCTCCATACCCTTTCCCCAGAGGTTGAGCTGATATGTCACTCAAAACCCCAACCCATAGTCACACTGTTAGTCTTTCCAGCATGGCCAGCCCCCACTCTGGAACCATCTAGGGGCCCATCATGAAAAACAAAGACACTTCTATCACTTGGGAAATCTCAAGGATTATAAGCTCCTCCACAAGAACCAGGAACAAAAGCTGGCCAAATTCTTTATCATGCAACATGGCCTTACTGAGGATTCTGGCCAGGCTGGCTTACCTCTAGATCAAATCTTAATACAGTGATCCACAAGACTTGGCCAGATTCTTCTGCTGTTATGTTATTTTGCTGTGTTGAATATTATGCCAAAAAAGGGGACATAATATGACAGAATTCAGAACATCAATTATCCAATATCTTTTTGGTCTAATGATCTTCTTTGATTAGTCTTGTACGGCACAGATACGTACCGGGTGCCTACTGTGTGACAGGCACCTAATGAGAACACAGCTGAAGAAATAATTTATCTTTATAACACTGCCTAAAACAAATACATCTGTGTGCATTTAACTAATGTTCCAATCAAATGATCCTTGCCTATTCATTTAAGCATGTCCCACAAACTTAGAAACACTTCATCACTCATTATGTTACTCTGGATTACTTAAATGGGTCTGAAACTTAAGTTACTTACTTAAACTGGGTCTGAAACCCAGTCCTGGTCCCACACCAGTTATGTGATTGTACTTACCCTGGTCCTCGACCTCCATATTTGCAAAAATGTGAACATGAATAATCACGTCTACTTACTTAAAGAGGCAACTTAGCGGTTAAGAGCATGACTCTGGAACCAGACTGCTTGACAGATGGCTCTGGCTCTTTCTAGCTATGGAAGGTGGAATGTCCCTTAATCCCTCTGGCCACAGCTCCCTCATCTGTAAAATGAGGATAGTAATACCCTCATAGAGATGTTGGGAGGAAGAAATAAATTAATTACATATAAAGCACTTATAATAGTGCCTGCACCTAACAAGCACTTACATTACCGATTGCAATTATTTATAATTCCCTTATTACTTTTTACTTGTTTTGGTTGTTGGGATGATGAGATAATATTCACGAAAGAAGATCATATTATAAAATCTGGCACAAACTATACATTCAAATGTTGATTTCCTTTACAATAGAAATTATCCTATATTCAGACTATTCATTAAGACTACTCCATGGATATGAATAAGTGAGATGAAGTTTACCTTCATCTGATGGCAGGTAAAAAAAGGCAACTGAGTACAAAGGGTTATTTAGGCTGACAAAATGATTTTTAAACAGTGGTAAAATGTTTAAAATTGGGGGGTAGGATAAGGAGTTTGTAACAGGCTGACAAGAGGTAAAAAATTAGAAAAGCATGAGGGTAAAACGATGCCTTGATATGTTAAATTATAATATTTTATTAAGGATTTGGGAAAATTGACTTTTTTTTTAAAAGCACAAATCCTTATTGTCTTAAGAGTTTAAGGCAGCACAATAAAGTACAAATTAGGATTTCTTTTCATTTTAAAATATGAAAACTTAAGAATGATTACCATTTGGGGAAAAAACTCCCACGGTATCTTAACATATGAGAAATAAAAACCAGTCAGAATTCCCTATGCTGGATCCTTAAATTCTAAGGGGCTCTGTTGTACCCACATATGCACATAACAGGTTACAGTCATCAGAATACAACGGAAGTTTAAGAATGAGATTAAATATTCCCAGCATATTATACTCACAAAATTAAGTGCTATCACTGATCGCATAGATATTAAGCTGTTTTAACCAAGGTTACGTACACTGAAAATGAAGATTAATAGGATTTTTTAACACAGTGGATGCAATGTCAAAACTTACTGCTAAAAAATAAGGGCCAAAATCTTTATGAATTTAGACTCAAAACCGTGCAAGCAACATACTGTATCAATTTGCTAAATCTACTTGTGTTTCTAAATTTTTTTTTTTTTAATTTTATTTATTTTTTCCCCCAAAGCCCCAGTAGATAGTTGTATGTCATAGCTGCACATCCTTCTAGTTGCTGTATGTGGGACGCGGCCTCAGCATGGCCGGAGAAGCAGTGCGTCGGTGCGCGCCCGGGATCCGAACCCGGGCCGCCAGCAGTGGAGCACGTGCGCTTAACCGCTAACCCACAGGCGCCGGCCCTACTTGTGTTTCTTAAATTTATCCTATTTCATCTTCAAGCTGCCAAACGAAATTTCACTTTTATGAGAAAAACTCTGACAATTTTATTATTATTTTATAGCAAAAGACATTAATTATTTTCCCTTCAATTAAAAAATCCAAATCATTAAAACTTTTAGCACTTCTCTGATGAATATTAGCAAATTTTTCTTGTGATATATACTTACAGGGTGCAGGATGATAACTCCTTTCACTTTATTGCCTATACTCCATAGAAAATTTAAAGCAGGTTTTCTCTGAGGAATACTTTTAAATTATCAGAGAAAAGCTTAAGTTTTAAAGTTTATGTAAAGCCTTACTCCAACCTTCACTTCCCTCTTTATAACAAAATTCTATCAACACATTCTTTAAAAAAAAATCACAGAATAATTTTTATTTATAATGAAGTTATTCTCTCTAGACTTTAAATCATCCACTCTTATAACAGAGAATCAATTTAAATAACACCACCAAAACAGAATGAAGACAAAACAATTTGCTGTTACATATCAATTTCTTTGATATGTCATAATGATCCAATTAGTCTTGCAACACGGTCCATTTCCAGTGAAAGTCTCAACAAACTGCTAAGCATTATAGTCCTTCATATTGACATTTTATTCTAAGGTGTGCCAGATGCGGCTCTCCGGAACACTTCAAGTCAAACAGTCAGTGTTCTGAAGAAAAGGGTCGACGTCCTATGTAACCCAGCCACAAATGGATAGTGTGCCTTCAGATCCTTTGGTTTGTATAATAATCCCTTTGGAAAGTTAATTAGTTGATGTTTGTTTCCTTAGAATTCTGTTTTAAACAGGACGAATCACCGACTACACAGTTTGTGCCAACGTCCTTGACTTTCTCGTTTCTGCTGTTTTGTTTATCAGATGATATAGTGATGGCAGTCTTATTTTATCCCTATTTTTGCTGTAAACATTGAGAAATATACCAAGGACCACTAAAAAACCAGACCATACATACCTAAGAGAAAGAAATAAGAAAAAAAGATTAATATCAAGGTAACAATTTATTGTTAACTACAGAATTTGGTGATGAGTTCATAATTATTCTGCAATAAAGTAAAATTTTGCTATTGGAGACCTATAATAATAGCATTAAAATAAAAATAGTATTTTTAGATCAGATTAGAAAGAATTACACATCTTTTATGTTAGGTATATACAGACAGAAGGTATTTTACAAAATAGTAAATGTAGTTCATTTGAATTTTGAGGATAAGAGCAAATTCGAAGTCCAACTCATACCAAAAGTCTTAAGAGTATTTTTAAAGCCCTGGATACGTCAAACTGCCAATGGCCACCTTGAGAACACAACTTAGCAGTTGAACTAGTGATTCCAGTGAGTAGAATATAAAGAGATAAAAAGGGGCCCACCCTGGGAAAGAGGAAGAATTGGTATAGATTACTATAACGTATATCTAGCATATGCAGAAAGTGAAAATAATTTATAGAAAACAAAGAATACATTGAAGCAAATCTATTTTGTGGTTACCTTTAAGCTTACACATTGATAATTTCTAGGTCTGAATCGTCTCAGTTACTAAGCAACATAAGTTTAAATGATGCTAATTTCAAACACATACTACACAGTAAAGAAAAACAGTAAATGCTTTTACAAAAAGCCACAAACTAAATAAATCATTAGGGCACAACTTACAGAATACTTCTCCACCTCAAATCCTTTGTGGGAAAAGGCAGCAAATAAACCAAGAACTTTAAAAACTATATATATATATAATTTATATATAATTATATATATATAATTTATATATTTGCACTAGGGCAAGGAGGAATCCCTTCATTTCAACACATCACTCACATTTAGTTACATTGGAAACAAGGTCACACCTGCACTGGGACTCTGGTTAGCAATTTAAGTGTACAGAATGATTTCCTCAAAATAATTACATACGTTTTTGAAACAGCAAAAGACACATCAATAAATTAGGGGTCAAGACGAAAAAGATTCTTTACAAAGAAATTAAAGTTGTTTAAGAGGAAATGTGAAACAAAGTATCTAAAAGTAGAGAAACTTGTTGAATTAAAAAGTACTTACTGAAATGTGAATGGTTTAGCAAAGAATATAAATGAAAGTACGATGGTCATTGCTTTTCTCCCTGTTGTCACTGTAGGGAGAGATAGGTTGGTTTAGAATGAGCCTACTATCCTGGTAATATTTTGGAAACAAAATATTTACAAAGCCTACTATGTAGAGGATATATATGAGGGGCCAAGGAAACAATGGAAAGCAAAAAACAAACAAACAGAGTCACTGTTCTTGCTTCCATGGAGTTTATAGTCTAGTAGAGGTGCAGGCATTAAATAATGTAGTTAATGGTTCAAGTACAACTGTTAACAGGTACTTGATGGAGGCTGTGACACTGCGGAGGCATGCCATCCTTTAGACACACTGACTTTGTTAGGCAGAAAAGAAAGGCTTTCCCAAGGAAGACATGATTACGTAGAGCAGAAGTTATTCTTTAAAAGTAGTAATCTTGGGGCCAGCCTGGTGGCACAGTGGTTGGGTTCATGTGCTCTGCTTCGGCGGCCTGGGGTTCGCAGGTTCAGATCCCAGGCGTGGACCTACACACCACTCATTAAGCCATGCTGTGGGGCATGCCACATGCAAAATAGAGGAAGACTAGCATAGATGTTAGCTCAGCAACAATCTTCCTCAGGCAAAAAGAGGAAGATTGGCACAGACGTTAGCTCAGCGCCAATCTTCCTCGCCAAAAAAAAGTAGTAATCTTAAGGACATACTAGTATCTTAATAGCATTCATCTCTCGATAAGACTATGAGTAATCTTAATAATCCTCTTTACATCTGTATTAACTTGTACTTGTCCTTCAAGTATTACCTAGAAGACTGCAGTAAGGCCTGAAACCTTCCTCCCTTGTGGCACCCAGGCAGAGATAGGAACTCTGCATTTATCTCCATTATAGCCTTTCCCCCCACTCTGTGTTATCAGTTGTTATCTTCCCACTAAACTGTGTGCTTTACTTGGTTCCTTATCTTATTCATCCTTATATGTCTTTTACGTACATATATATATGTGGACATAGTTCCTGGCACTTAATAGTCAATGCATGAATTAATAATTACCAAATGAAAAAACTGTTTTGGAAACATGCGTCAGAGCCCAATTCCCAAAATCTATTTTTCCTTCTACTTAGTAAGAGGATGCATTTTTTTTTTTTTTTTGCTGAAGAAGATTCCCCTTGAGCTAACAGTCACTGCCAATCTCCCTCTATTTTGTTTTTTGTATGTGAGCCACCACCACAGCACGGCCAGTGATAGATAAGTGGTGTAGGTCCACGCCCAGGACCTGAACCCAGGTCACCGAAGCGGAGTGTGCCATACTTAACCACTAGGCCACTGGGGCTGGCCTGAAAGGATGCTTATTTTTAACTGAGCATACCTTCCAGCCTCTCCTACAGTGAGGTGTGGTTATGTGACTAGGTTTTGGCCAATGAAATGTGAACAGAAGTGCTGTTTCTAGGAGTGTGATTTCTATGAAGTTTCCACAAAGAGAAAGGTGTGTCTTTCATCTTCTCTCCATCCCACTGCCTGGAAGGGAGATGAAGATGGTGGAGCAGACAGAAGGAGCCTGGGTTCCTAATGAGCATGGAGCCACCACACCCTCTCAGGTGGCAGTATAGCACATAGGTTAAGAGCACAGGTCTGGAGCCAGACTGCCTCAGTTGGAATCCTGACTCTGCAACTTACTAGTTGGTTGACTACTGGGCAAGTCACTTAACCTCCCTGTACCTCAGTTTATCCATTTTTAAAATGGAACAATAATAGTGCCTACTTTATAGGATTATTGCAAGATTAAAATGAATATGTGTAAAATACCTAAAACGGCACCTGGTACATAAAAAGGGCTATGTACATGTCAGCTATTATTATTACCACCTCTGGATTTCTTTTACGTGAGAGAGAAATAAACCTGCCCGCACCTCAAGACAAGGACTGCATCTCACATTTCTTTATACCAACCACAGGGCTTAATCAATACATACCAATTGATATCGGATCCCTGTTTTTGAACAGTTATTATCTTACAAGCAAAACTGGAACCCAAGCTAAGTATATGAATTTGCAATCTTTCTTGATAGCATGAGATGACTTGAAAGATTAGTGATATGGCCTGATCTACATCTACAACTAAATTCCCTCTATTTACCATTAGGGATGTAAACTTTAAAAAGGAGAGTCACATGTTAGCAAATAAAGAGAAAAGTTAGGAAGCAAATATACTTTTACAAGGAGAGAGGTATTTATCATTTGTTTAATTTACTCTGTGGAATTAAAATAAGTATTCACCTAAAACCATGAAAAATTAAAATCAGGTAAACGACTAATGTATATACACATTATGGATGAAATTCTACAGATCTGATAGAGATGATCAGGTCAAACTCAATCCCCTCACAAAAAGGAGAAACGAAGCCCAGAGGAGAGACTTACTCTCCAGGACATACATCATTAAACGTCAGAGCTGGGACAGGGCTCTGCCTTCTCTGACATCCCAATCCAGTGCTCTTCATGACATGCCATACTGCTTCCAACCCTGGGCTTCAGGGCTCTCTCCATGTGGGAGACACAGAGAGCATCTGTTATCTGTACTGTTCATTTGGCAAATGATACAAGGTAGCACACTGAGCCACCTGTTCCCCTCACTAGGTCTCCCCTGTAGCCCCTCATCTGTCTCCCTCACTCCTCCAAAACAAAACAAATACAACACCCATTCTTCTAAAGTGCCAAGCCAAGTCTCTGCACAGAGCAAGTGCATAACTATCAGTGAAAAGAGAAGCTAATGTGGTTGATGTCCTAGAAAGTAAACAAATGAAAGGTCCAGAAAGCTTTGTTTAAAATACACCTGCCATACTTTAAGTGCAACAAAACTGGAATTTTTAGTTATAAATTAAAAGTATACAAAGGCAGTATTTTTCTCTGAAGATATTCATCCCATCATACCTTTTTAAATAAAGATCTTTTAATGTATTTAAAAGTTACTATTTAGATAAATGTATATATTTGATTCTAAAAGTAAACTTTTAAGTAAGAAATTAAGATCAAACATTATTTTCTTTAGAATTTTAAAGAAATACCATAAGCCAAGGAATAAATTGGCAAAATATGACAATTTTCTTTTTAGTGAAGAGTACATGCTGCCCTTATCTTTTGAAAAGAGCATCAGAGAAAATTTAAGTGCTTATTTCATAACCTAAGCAAGTATACCATTCCTACCTGTTACAGCAAGAAGTGCACCGAAAATTTTAATCAAAGCCAGAACAAAGGAGATTCCAAAATACCCAGTGAGGGAAAAAAGGAAAGCATAACCGTAGGTCCGAATTGCATTCTGCAACATATGAAAAAGCCTGTTAGAAAAATGGAAAACAAACCCTGAGGTATTACAAATGAAATAAAACTACAGATTTTAATCAACTTTTTGAGCAATAATAAGCCATTCAACAATGCAGTCAAGCAAAGATTCTTATTTAGTTCTGATTTAATGGAAAAATATTGAGGAAATTAAAAATCTCCCACTTCTACATTATGAATAGCTTAAAAATGAACCTATAGGGTAGTGCAAGGATAAAATAAATTTAAATATAAATCATTTCATTTCTGATCTGCATATATTAAATTAAAGGAGTTATCAGATTACATAAAAAAGCCTTTTTGAACACAGGGAATTAAAAATATAGAGGAAACTATTTAACAGAAGATGTTTATTTTAAAAAATGTGCTTAGTGTTTACCTTTGAACAAAATGCTACTGCAGGGCCTAATCCACTAGTGCATGTCAATCCCAATAAAATGTACACAAAACCGATTGAATACGAATACAAAACCTAGAATAGATAAAAATGAAGTGGAAAAAAGTGCTATCAAACCAAAGGCGGAAAATGAAGGATTTTCAATATGTGGCTCAATTAATCTACTCAATTAAATTTGCAGAAGAAACCATTTTAAAAGTAACATCGTTTCAATATGGCCTAACTTTCTGGAAATGATGGTTGATCCTAACTGTTTATAAGTCGATGCCTTATTTTATGTACAACATAACACAGTGGTACTGATCCTTTCATATATGAACACATAATTATTCATTTCTTGCCTGGCTTAATTACTGAATTCAAACCAGATTTTAATGTTGCGGTTCTAAAAACATACATACACAAAACAAAAAAACTTTAAAGCTACTTATTAAACATGAAAAAACCCAAATATTAAGTTTGCAAAGACATCAAAATATAATGAAATTAAGCAGTATATGGCATATCTACTGCTTAACTTTCCAATTTTCCTACCAATCTTTCTATCCCAGTTTATTATACTCCTTATCAGCAGAATCAGAATCAGCATCAAACTTAAATACCTGCTATGTGTCAGGTACTGTGCTAATAATGCTCTATATGGATTATTCCATTTATTTCTCACAACCAACCTATGAGATAGGTACTCTTCATCATCACTCCCCAATATGCAGATGAAGAAACTAAAACTTAGAGATATTAAGTCATTTTCCCCAAATAAGAGAGCTAGCAAAGCTGGGATGTGAACTAAGGCTACTGAAGTCCAGAGCCTATGGTCTTAACTACTGTATTACATTAACTTTCTAACTACCTACACTTCCTTAATTCTCTGATCTTTACCTTATCTAGGAGGAGTGGTGATGATGATCAAGAAAACTCCTGACCAAGATTAAAGTTCCTATGTTCCTAGGGACTCCTTAAAGTTGCCTCACTCTGCTGACAAAGCAACAGAAAGGACCAGTCCTATACATCCTTAATGCAGCATGCTCTGTCTGTCCAGCAAGGTGGTGGGCTATAGAATTAATGTAAACACATACACAGTAACTTCACTCTATAAAAATACCAACCAGTTAGAAGATATACTGGAAGAAAAGGCATTATTTGCCGTAACAACGGCAAAAAGATGAAACACCTAATAATAACTTCAATGAGGAATATGCTGGATTTAAATAAGAAAACTAAAATCTAAGGGACATTAAAGAAAAAACACTTGAATAAAAGGAAAGTCATACCTTATTCTTGGACTGAAAGAATCAAGTGTACAGATGCCATTCTCCCTAAATTAATTTATAAGTCAATGCCATACCAATCACAATATCAATGGGATTTCTAGTTTATTTGGGAATATGAACACACAAGAATAACTATTGGTAGTAATATTCTGAAAAACAAAAGGAACAATGGTGGCTAGTCCTAATAGATGGTAAATGTATGATAAAGCTGCTGTCATCATATGGTTCTGGTGCAGAAATAAATTCAAAAGAATACAATTCTGAATCCTGCATTAGAATACAATATGATAAGAAGGCACCTAATATAACCTGGAAAAGTGGATTATTCAATAAATGATACTGGGGACAAGTGGATAGGCATTAGGAAGAAAATTTTTAGGGGCCGGCGCCGTGGCTTAGCAGTTAAGTGCGCGCGCTCCGCTGCTGGCGGCCTGGGTTCGGATCCCGGGTGCGCACTGACGCAACGCTTCTCCGGTCATGCTGAGGCTGCGTCCCACATGCAGCAACTAGAAGGATGTGCAGCTATGACATAAACTATCTACTGGGGCTTTGGGGGGAAAAAAATAAATAAATAAATCTTTAAAAAGTTTTGGTTGAATAAAAGATTTAATAAAAAAGGAAGTCATAAAGGAGTAGGCAACAAGGGTAAAATTCTTAAATCTCAGAGCTGGGAAAGCCCTTTTCAATCACAGTACATAGCCAGAAATCATGAGGTAAAAGATAAACCAGACCACATGAAACTTACAAACTTCTAAATGGAAAATAATTATACAATGAGCTATTAGCAGCGGCAGTGCTAATAGCCGCTGTTTTTACTTTTTACCTTCCTTTAATGTTTGAAAGTATTACTTTAATGAAAATAATGATGATAAACTAGTTTAATAATACAATGCAATCTTTAACAGCACACCTACTTCATAAAAGTTAGCATATCACCATTTTTGAGTCTGTCTGATGTGAAGAAAAAGCACTAGAGTATTTACCATTTCTGAATTAGAAGCATTATGCAGTTTCATAGCTTTCTCTTGAACATTTCCAATGACAGCATCTGCACACAGTGCCAGGGAAATAAGGATCACACCTTCAAGAAGCATAAAAAAAAACTCTCCTTATTTAAACATATGAGCGATAACCGAGATTTATGAGATTTCACTGGGCTAAAAACCAAAAGCAGATCTTAAATCACATTTGCTCAGTAAAGCTGAGTATTTTTATCAACAACCAGTTGTAACAGGCACATAGGTGATGATATTAACAAAAAAGTAACTAACACTAATAAACTGCATTAATGCTGTCACTATTATTGTGTTTCACTATCACGTCAAATAATAGTTCTACTTTTAAACTATATTACATGTTTGAAAGGAATACTGCAATAAACAAATATAGAAGAAATTTTTAGAAGATCTATTGGGATTGGTGTTTAGTCAGTTAATTGAAAATGATCAGATGAAGAGGGAAACCAAAATAGCCTATATTATTAAAAGGTTTAATTTAAAACACATAAACATGCATGCAGTTGCTAAGGTCTTTTCTTTGAGCATGGGGCCTAACTAAAATTCTGCACTTTCTCTTTTGGATAAACCACACTCATAAAACATTCTCTATGATTTCCAAGTTTTTGTTAAAATGTGCACCAGAAACTTATGAAACAATTGGGGTGCAGAATCCTTTCATATTTTTACGATATCCCTCAGTTTTTATTGTTTCATCCACACCTAACTCAATAGTGATGTTACTGACTTTAATTTGTTTTAATTAACTTCATTTTCACAGAAACTATTCTTTCTCTCTTCAAACTCATTTTTGAGTAGTTTAAGTAATATTTAATTATTGCATAATTACAGTAACAGGTATGACTGGTACAAACGAATCTGGAAATCAATGCACTCACACAAATGTGCATGCCTCCCTGAGAAGTAGGCTATTAACTGCAAGTGTTTAGGACACTGGTCACCAGGCATGGTACTTTACAAAAAGAATAAACAGCAGCCTTGGTTATATCTGGGAGTCTGATGGGATTAAAGAGAGTTTTCTCTTTCTAGTTTCTTTAAAAGTACAGTCATGCGTCACTTAACGACGGGGATAGGTTCTGAGAAATGGGTTGTTAGACGATTTCATCATTGTGTGAACATCATAGAGTGTGCTTACACAAACCTATATGGTACAGCCTACTACACACCCAGGCTCTATAGGACTAATCTTATGGGACCACCATCGTATGTGCAGCCTGTCATTGACCAAAACATTGTTATGTGGTGCATGACTGTATAAGAAATCACAGGTAGCAGAAAAATACATGGACACACGTATGCACTTGAGAATTTTCAAGTTTTCATACTTATTCTTCAATTTGACTTTTTCTCAGCTAGCTTTGGTATTAATTACCTAATCAAACATTTTCTTTTCACTAAGGAAGATTCACCCTGAGCTAATATCTGTTGCCAATCTTCCTCTTTTTTTCTGCTTGAGGAAGATTAGTCCTGAGCTAACATCTGTGCCAATCTTCCTCTATTTTGTATGTGGGTTGCCACCACAGCATGGCTGATGAGTGGTGTAGGTCCGTACCCAGGATCCAAAACTGCAAGCCCAGGCTGCAAAAGCAGAGCGTGCCGAACTCAACCAGTGCGCCACCAGGCCGGCCCCCCAATTGTACATTTTATTCACCAAACTTGATTCTGAATGCTCTTTTACCTGTTTCAAATATCAAATCTGTCCTTGAGAGAAAAAGACATGTTATTATTGAAGACCCTGAAAACAATCTAGCTCCTAAAAGGCTATTCAAAGACATTCCAAAAATGTTCTGAACAATGGCAACAGCATGAAAATACCTGAATTGCACCCTGAGGGGAATATTTTAAAGGCAGACATTTATTTGAATAAGTAAATTCTGATATATTCACTTTATACATTCAAAGTTTTGTTTATGTCTCTATTAAATAACCATCTTAATAGTTAATCTCCTGTACATAATATACTCTTATAGATCAGGGATTGTGATAAGTGCTTATGAATTATTCTTAATGATGAAGTATGGTTAGGTTCTAATTCTCTTAAAAACTATTTCCATGGAACCCAGAAAGGGCTAGCACTTAACTTATAATGAGAGGTTACCGAACCACCTCTTTCCATCACCACCACCATCATCCCCACCTCCACCACGTGTATGTGCTTTCACATGTACTATGCCATCATCTCACTCTATGCTCCCACTATCTTTGTGTGAGGCAAGATATCATCATTATCTCTGTTTTATAGGTGAAGCACAAAGGAGTCTGGCAATTTACCCACGGTTATTTTTTTAAGTGATTCAAACAGAATCTGAAGCCATGTCTCTGTCTGAAGCCATGTCTCTGACTGCAAGTTCTGTGCCCTCTCTAAAACTGTTTTTTCATAAGTAGAAGAGTCAGTTCCCTCAGTTTTCAAATATAATCTTCCTCATAGAGTTGCTGACATGAAAATGAAGTGTTCCTGAAAAATCTAAACAATGTTAGAAACATCTGCAACTATAAGCTTTCTCAGAGTAAAACTCACTGAAGTAATGATCACTTGTATTCCGAATGATCAAAGGTCAAAGAAGAGATCTAACAGCTTCTACCAGAATCTTCTAGTTGTCAAAGGGCTGCTCCAAGAGGCTGAACTGGTTACATTTAAATCCATTAATGTAGCCTTGCTAACCAGGTTAGTTAGGAAGGCTGACTAACAACTGGTAAGAACAGCAAGCTGTTGTCAATGATTTTCTCATTATGTAATCTTTTTTTCTCACAGATAATTATACTTTGTACTTGCTGATATATATATACACACTATATATATATACTATGTAACATATATATAGTATATATATATATATATACTCTCTCAGAGTTCCTTTGATGACCTAGATATTTTAAATATTATTTTTGTCAGGCTAGGAGATGGGATGATACTAAAATAAACTTATGAGTAAAGAATGACAACATTGTATATATAAACAATTTTTCTCTAAGGTCTTTAGAATAAAAACAAGATTCTAACACACATTTATTATTCCTATTTATTTCTAAACATACTATAATATCTATTCTGCTTGTGAAAAATCTAAATTTAATTTACAAAATTCCTCATGGCACACTATGAGGAAACTGTTTATAGTGAAAATTTTAAGCACTTTAAGGTTATGACCATATTTTTATTACACAGTTTAATATTTAAAAGTATAGCATAACTTTCCCTCTTTAGCTATAACAATGACAGGTAAATGTGCAAGTTTCAATTTTTCTAAGAAAAACGAGAATAAAAACAATTACTACTGTGACTGTCCTATAACCAATGTGTATATTTGCAATTCAGCCCATAAGAAATTGATCTATTATGTACTTGATAACAGAAGATTTTGACAGGGCAAACAGCTTCTTGTCATGTCAAAATACAAGAGTACTAAAAACAATTGTTATATTTCCAGAGTTGTAATATTTTTACTACATCTTATATGGAAAGTCTGAAAGCTTTATGTTAGGTATGAGAATCAGAGATGTGACACCATCATTTAAAATCCCTAAGAAATTGTAAAAATTCTTACTCTAAACCAAAATGCCTACAAAATCTAGGATACAATAAAATTCCTTACCTGTCAGGTTGAAATTTGGTGCAGTTGTGCTGTCAGCTAGAGTAAACCATATGAGACCAAGGCTCATACATACTGCAGCAGACACATCTACAATATTATAACGCTTTCCTGTGTAAAATCAATGGAAGTCAACCTCATTATGCAAATATCCACTCAGCATTGCTTTAGATCTATGTGTTTAACCAAGTAGAGCAGGAATCTGTTTTTTATGTCCAATGACAAAAATATATGAAGAACACTTAGGTCAAGGCATGGGATGGTCACAGAAGGAGTGCTTTTTAAAATTAAATTACCAATGAGCACCAATACATCCTTATAAGTTAGATATGAAATTCTACTTTATCTGTTATGGTAGTGAGTAAATGAACATTGAAAAACCTGTAGAAATTAGTGCCTCTTTTACTTTATGTATAATATAAGGCTATGAATTTTCTTATAGTTTATTAGTTTACAAAGTAATCAGAGTAATTATCAGGCTATATAACTGTTTAAGTTTGTAAATATCATAATCAGCTAACTTCTAGGTTGGTGAGGATTAACTTATTTTAGCATATCTACATTTAAATAATGAAATCATGCAGTGTCACTTTTTGTAAGGATTGTAAGGAAATATTATATGTGCCCAGTCAGTTATGATGTTAAACATGATTTTTTTTTTTTTTTGGTGAAGAAGATTAGCCCTGAGCTAACATCTGTTGCCAATCCTCCTTTTTGCTGAGGAAGATTGGCTCTAGACTAACATCAATGCCCATCTTCCTCTACTTTATATGTGAGATGCCCGCCACAGCATGGCTTGATAAGTGGTGCCTAAGTCTGTGCCTGGGATCCGAACCTGTGAACCCTGGACTGCTGTAGCAGAGCACACGAACTTAACCAGTATGCCAGTGGGCAAGCTCCTGAATGCGATTTTTTTTTTTTTTTGTGAGGAAGATCGGCCCTGAGCCAACATCTGCCAATCCTCCTCTTTTTGCTGAAGACTGGCCCTGGGCCAACATCCATGCCCATCTTCCTCCACTTTACATGGGAAGCCGCCACAGCATGGCTTGACAAGCGGCGCATGGGTGCGCGCCCGGGATCTGAACCGGCAAACCCCGGGGCCGCCGCTGCGGAGCGCGCCTACTTAACTGCTTGCACCACCGGGCCGGCCCCCTTGAATGTGATTTTTAATAGGGATAGAGGTCAATATTTTTTCCTGCGTGAACAGTTATCCTGAAATTATATTTAAGTAGTTGACATACATACTTTCATTTTAAAAGGCTTTTTTTTTGGGAAGGCATTTAATGCCTAAAATGAAGTCAAGCTGTATAGGAACTTTAGTGACACACAAACACTTGATTATCAAAACATGAACATTCCTTATGACTGTTATATGGACAACAATAAACTTGTACCACTGCTGGTTGCTATCATTGCCTCCTGTTTCACTCTTATTTCCACATAGCTTGTAACTTAGTTGGGCTCTAAGAAGTCAACAAGCCAGCAGAGTTGGTAAAAAAAACAGTTGTGCTCAGGTTAAGCTTTACTTTAATATGAGAACTGTCCGTTTGTATAATGGAGGTAGAGAGTGGAGCCCTGAAGAGTCAAGGAATGAAAAAACTGGAAAAAGGAGCTTTGTAGGCACTTCTAAGCTAAGTCTTCAATATGTGAATACACTATTTCTAGACATGTAGCAGATTCCAGATTAAAAGAATAAAATAAAAACTATTGTTATTTTTCCGAGTCCAAATTATTGATTTCAGACACTAAAGTATATCACAGAAGTATCAGTGTTTTTATAATACCTTATTTTTATAAGATATCACTCAGAATTGTTACAATATCTAGAGTGTTCATTAAAAATATTAATCAAAGTTTAATGTTTTTCCTAATGCTAGATGCCATAACATATCCTATTAGTTTCAAACAGTATGAAAATATATCATTACTATACCTTGAATAAAAACTCCTCCTAGCATAACAGGAATCAATTTGCAGCACTTGAAGATGACTTGGGTAGGATAATTCAGGTAGCCCAGGGAAGTGTTTGATAACCCCATAGTACCCACTGTTAGAAAAGCTATTATCATGTAGGTTTTTCCTGGTATTCTGTAAAAGACAATTTTTAAAATCTTCATTTTGGGACTCAATTCATACTAATGTAAGATAATGTGTTTACAGTGTGTAAGTGTCTAGTTATTCTTCTAATTTAATATTTCTAGAAATATTGGCAAAATATCACTATTTTTATAGTTATTACAGTGTTCACTTGTATAAAAGAATGTTGGTAAAAATAATTTACCCTAATTTAATCAATTATAAGACCTCTCTACTGTTTGAAAAAGTATATGAGAGAGTTACTTAGATTCTTACTGAAAATATAAATGTTGATAGAAGACTTTTTAACAGCAATTCTAGCTACATATAAAATCTTGACTAAATTTAGAAAAAAAGAGTTACTTTTTAAAACATATTAGCCTCTATAACAGTAAATGGTACCTTAACCAATTTTTAACTTCTAAATTTGTTGTTCTGTTTCCTAATGTTTCCATCTAGCATTAGGAAAAATACATCCATCTATTCTGCTAGAATAACCTGAGTAGAATTTCTCTAGAAAAAGTCTACGGTGGTTTAAACTCTAAATGTGATTTTTATTACTACAATATCTTATGATTCATCTCTAACTCCGTATTCTATAAAATGTTAAAACAATCAACTTTCAGATGAGGAATCTCTCTCCTCATGATCCCAAATCTATTTTGGGTTCTATCTGGATTTCCTAAAGGAGATTCTTAATTTGGCATCTTTAGAATGTAGAGCTATTACTGGGAGCATAAGCTCACTTTGACTACGTATTTAATGGTCTAAAATAACAGTTTTGTACACTGGTGTGACTAACACATGAAGTACTATTCATATAATCTGATTATGCTGCATACTCAGATCTAGTTTCCATTTTGGGATTTGTGTTCATGTTTAAATCAAGGCAACAAAATTCCTCCATATTTTTTATATAGCTAGATATAAGGCAAAATAATTTACCGGAAAAATTCAATTAAAATGCATCATTTCCACTTACATTTCAATTTTGAGGCCTTTCCTACTTAACTACTAACACAGTGGTCAACATTCAAAATCCACGTGAAAATAATTTGGCATGCCTGTACATATCAGTGTGCACAAACACTGATTTTTATGCTGTTTGCAGGGTTTAACCCTTAGTGGGAGCTCATCAGTGAAGGACAGTACCACTTCTCCAGATAATGATGTAAGTCACAGTAGTCAAGCTTCCTCATAAATAAATCGCAAACAGTGGCCAGAAATAAAAATTCAAGTCAGAAAAATCACAAGGAACGATTAGAAAAGCAGCATAGAACAGGTAGAAAGACAACCAGCCTGAAACTCAGGAAATTCAAAAGGCTCCAACTCTGAGAGCAACTTGCTATATGATCTCTTGAAAATCCCTGTGCTCCTCTAGGTCTCCGTCTTCTTGTGGGTAAAATGAGGAGGTTAGATTTCATCTTCTTGCCTCTAGGATTCTCACTGTTACTATTTTAATACCCCCACTGCTTACTTCTTTAGATATGGTGGGAAAACTATAACTTTAAAAAGCCCCTTCAAATCCAACTTGACAAATCTCCTTTATTAAAAACTCACATAAAGTAATTAATGATAAAGTTACAAAGTAATCTTCGGTGAAAAATAAGTAGAATATTTAGGGCACTACAGTTTACAGTGTGCTTCACCACACATTACATTTGATCCTCAAAATAAAACTGAGGGAGAATTTAAGAAACTTCCGTGCAGTCATGACAGAGCTAATAGGAGGCAGTGACAAGACTCCAATCCATGTTTCCTGACTCCCAATCCTGTACTCTTTCAACTGCACTGGCACTCATATAAAGACAGGAAGAAAGAAAAGGACGAGGCAAAGAGTTTGGCTAATTAAAGATCTAAATGGCAGCGCCACTTAAATTCAGAGATGGGTATACACTCAGAAATAAATTCAGAAATACGTGGTTGGGCATATTTTCATTGTAACGTACCTTTAAAGACTTTTTCTAGAAAGTTTTTAATGTGCCATGGAATGAAAAGGTTTCAGTTCATACTTATATTTATTACACACCTATAAATTCTTCTAACAAATTCCTTCACTTATGTTTAAATCAAACACGAATGATTTTGTTTAAATATGTTATGGTCATGTGGTTTAATGGTGGGATAAATATGGCTTGAGGCCCACTCCCTATCTCATCTGGATAGCTGAGAGGGAGGTGTATCTTTCTGAAATTTAACAAATAGGAGATGTATCATCTTGTGTCACTTTTCATTTAATAAAGATAGCATTATATTATTTTATTTTAGAGGCAATCAGAGGCCCAGCAGTTTGAAATGGGTAATGAATCATCAGACTTCCTTAGTCTTGACAGATATATTTAATTACTTTCTATTCCATCATCTACGGCTAAGTCTTGTAGTGTTTCAGAGCATGAAAGTAATGAAGAAGATAGCCTCAGATTCAAACATTTTTAGTATCATGCTTTAATAATTAATTGGCAATAAAAAGAGGTTGAGAGGTAAAATTAGACCCATGAAGAAACACTGTTGTACAGATTTAAATATTTAAGATTTTATAGTTACCTTCATACAACATCAAAATATTTACGAAAGGAAAAAAATAGTAAGTGTGAAAACGTTTTATTTTTACTAAAAGATTAAACATTTATATCAATGAAGACAGAATGTTGGTATTATAGCTGATTACATTTAAATTGCCCAAGATATACACGAAATATTCACATATTAGTGTCTGATATAACAGGATAACCACACTTACAAGAAATGTCATATTCAAATTCCTAACCACCTTCTGTTATGAGAGACTAGGTTTTATTGCATATTGTTCCATATGCCATTAAAAATATTTCAAGATACTTCTCAAACCTAGATGATGGTTAATTTAAAAGATACTGTCAAAAAAGCTCTTTTAGTCTTGATGAAAACGAAGGTTATGAAATTTCTCTAATGTCTAAGAATGCAATCTCAGCTACTGGCCATTACAAACATGACGGTGTTAAGTGGAATATATCCCATAAAACAAAACATTAACTAGACATTCTAAAAACCATTATAACAACAGGTGTTGATATTTCATTTCACCACTTTAATATTAGTAGCATTGTAAATCTTCCAGTAATTACACCTATTTCAGTGAAATTTATAAAAACAGATGTACATCTGAATACTTTGTCCTGTTTCAAGAAGATATTAAGTGGAGCCTAAACTACATTTTTTTATTTGATAACATTACACTTAAAGGGAAACTGCTTTTTTCAGTGTATAATGGAAGCATCGTTTTTTATATTTTTTAATAGTTTGTTACACTGATAAAAATTCTTGGGTATTAGATATGCTTTATTAATGGGAAATGTATATTTCATGTATAATATACTCCACATGCCTAAAATACAAAATAAAACAAAAAATTTTAACTACTACTAGTGAACTTAACTGTCAAAAATATAAAAAGACAAACTACATACCTTCTCCTTTTGTCCTGAATAAGCTGAAGTTCTATTAGGCCAAATATGGAGTAAAATGCAAACTGCACTAAAGTAAGGTACCAGCCATAGGACTTAAAGCCCTCCATTGAAAATATTAATTCCTGTCAAAAGATACATAAATACTGTTAAGTTCAAGGGGCAGACCAACTTCCTCACAATAAACTCCTATAAACACAACATTTTAAGAGAAATCAGGCCTCACCCCCAACAACAACAACCTTGACAACAACAAATAAAAAACAAAAAAACACCCAAATCACAAGGCTTCTCAGAGGTATAATTAGAGAAGCAGGAGGCCTTTCCAAAGAACGGACACTAGATGTCCAGGTGTGACAATCCACAGAAAAACAAAGGAGGGGAGGGAGAGCTGTGAAGCGACATTATCCTCTGCTTTTCTCCTTCTCTAAAAGACCAAAATTAAAAGAGTTGCCCAAAGCAATGAGAAAGATAGCTGATTGAAGAACTCATTTACTATATAAAATGCACATTTCATTAGAAGTCTAATATTTAAGGCCCATTTACCCATAGAAATATCATCAGTTCAAATCAATAATGTTATTTTTTGGAATACTTGTGCCATAGGTTACATAAAACTTCTCCTTGTGCAGGCAATGGTTATTACTTGGCCTCAACATGATGTTATATCACGAAGTAACATTTACATTAATTGTTAATAAATCATTCTCAACAGGTCATTAAGAGAGAATTCTAATAAAGTTATCTGGCTTAATTGAATAAATCAAACTTTCCCCCACATATATATACTTCAACTGTATTTTAAATAAATTTTGAAAAGACTAAATTTATGGATAAATTTCTTTTCAAAGAAAAACTAAACATAGCCTCTAAACAGACTCTGCACTAGACTTTGTACATTTAGGATACTGTGTAATTCCCCAAATTTAGATTTCACGTTCAAGTAAGTCTGCAAAGTATTTAGGACTCTTCTGGTTTATGAACTATAAAACATGAAAATAGCTTTATAAAGTATTCTGGCATTCAGATGAATATTTCTCTCTATATATATTTATAGCTAACTTCACTACAAAACCCCAACCATTTTCTTTAAACTATTTTAATAGGAAATTACATGTAAGAGTTAGTAGCAGTGTCACAAAATGAAAGTGATGTTACAAACATAATGATCAGCAGTTTATCTAATTTTAAAAGAAACTCTGCACATATTAGCTATAAATTAAAATCTCTGATCATTAATCAAATAGAAAAAAATTAACAAAATTTGTAAATTTCGAATTCATTTTCCTTTGCAATGGCTAGCTTTGCTCCCATGTTATTTGGTAATAATGATATTTTAAAGGAGAAAAAAATGTTTCTCAGTGAGCAATTTCAACCTTTACTAGGTAAAATTTACTATTTTTCATTGTTCTTCATTGTGATATCTGAATTTTTATATCATCTTCTAGTGGAGAAATCAGTTATTATGAATATTAACATTTTTAATTCATGTTTTTGTTTTACACCAATACTCTTCATAGCATTCTTAGAAGCTAAAGAATAGTCACAATTTTACCATCTTCTTTATTTACAATTACTTTTATATTTCATCTCTATAAGACAATGGCAAAGAGTATAATAATTTTTAAGATCACTCTAACTGATTAATACTAAAGAACACCGGAAATATTATCTGTGTTTTAAGACAACATATCACTTTCCTTTTCCTGAATTATAAAAGGCTCTCTCATGTTAGAGAGTTGCACAAACAGAGCAAAGTTGGTAATGGCTGAAAACAATCACTAATGAACTGATCATCAGTAGTATTAGTCCCCATTCAAACATTCTGTTGACACTAGCCTGGATCCTCACCCATCCAGCCCATGTCTTTGAAGGTAAAGAATTTGCTGCTGGTCAAATGTATACAACTATCCCATAATACAATGTAAATATAAGATAAATTGTGGCAATGTTAGAAATGTTTTGCACAGGCAAAAATCACAGAAAAATAAGGTTCAGGCAAAGTTAGATTAGAAGAGGAAACAAACAAGAATGAGAACACAATACCGGCTCTAAAACAAGAATGATTCAAATATTACAGGAGTAAAGAGATACCCTTGGAAAAACATAAAACATCCTGATATATTTTTGCAAAAATCATCTTTTATTATTGAGCTCTAAGAATCAAGAATGAACTGGAATATGGCTTTTATGCTATCATTGAGTTTTATTGGAGAATTATGTTCCAGAATACAAATCAATATTTTGAATACTCTTTTAAAAACTAATACACAGTTGCAATTATTACCTACATTTTGTTAAATATATTTTAAATTTTTTCATAATTTTTATTTTTTAAGATGGTCTCTGTTCCCCTCCTCCCACTTAAAATATTTAACTCTGAAATTTTGACCCCTGTTTTCAGCTGACGTACTTTTAAAAAGCCCTTTTCTACCACTAAAACACTCGAATTTGTGAATAAACTTATAAAGGGAAATATCTTGGACAAAACTATTAGTAAGTCCCCATTTTAACCTCAATTGTTATAAATAATTAATATATTATAAACAAATAACCATGTTTTACCTGTAAATATCCATAAATTAGGTAAAATACAAAAACTCCAGCAACACATATGAAAAATTGAGTAAGTTTGTTAAATCTGCTGAGATTTATGCCAAGTACTACAATGTCATCTACTGACTTGATGTGTGGTGACATTGTTTGGGTTTTGGATGGGACAGTGATGGAAATATATTTCCTGGAGTTGTTGAACTTGAGATCCATTGTTCTTGTTTTGCCACATTCAGTGCTTCCAAAGTTATCTTTGTTGGTCTCCTCTCCTCTGTTCAGTCCTTCTTTTGTTTGCTGGGCCAAGTCCTAAAAAAGGAAATAAGCAATTAAAGCAAAGTATTTAAATCATAAAGTAAAGTACTAACCCTTGAATAATATTTCAAATCATACTTTGAAAATTACACAGGTAAGTCTCCTTCTCTCTGGATATTAATATATTAATTCCCCTACTAAAGCTTCCAATCAACGAAAAACAGGAGTCTACTCTCCAGACAATGGATCTTCACCTAAGGCCAATATACATCATTAAATTAAATCTACACCATTCTTATTTCCACAGCAACAAACCAAAAGCTGGCCTTGTATATATTTCACCAAAGAAGTAAATATACCTTCATTATGTTTTTATATGTAGTAAGGATATAATTTTTTTTTTTTTTTTTGCTGAAGAAGATTCATCCTGAGCTAACATCTATTGCCAATCTTTCTCTTTTTGCTTGAGGAAGATTCACCCTGAGCTAGCATCAGCACCAGTCTTCCTCTATTTTTGTATGTGGGTCGCTTCCACAGCATGGCCACTGACAAGTGGTGTAGGTCTGCGCCTGGGAATCGAACCCAGGCCACCAAAGTGGAGCGTGCCAAACTTAACCACTAGGTCATGGGTCCAGCCCCAGGTTATAATTTTAAAAGCCCACAATAGTTTATGCATAACATTTTCAACATTCAAGTCAATCTTTAATTGCAGAAGAGTAAAGAACTAATGCTCCTTTAATTACTAAGAAAATTGTAAAATATATTTGTTAATGACATTTTAAAATAAAGTCAAAAAACTGTAAGTTACTTAAAGAGCTAGATTTATCAGAGACTACAGAAAGGATGATATGCTTTAGCAATAGTATCTCTTAGGTTAAAATAAAATGTTTTCTTCCTTGGGAGAAAATCACTTTAATTTAAAAAGTCTTTGGGGAGTTCTTGTTCAAAGGGTATAAAGTTTCAGCTATGCAAGATGAATAAGTTCTAGAGACGTGCTATACAACGTAGTGCCTACAGTTAACAACATGGTGTTGTGCATTTAGAAATTTGTTACGAGGGTAGATCTTCATATTAAGTGTTCTTAACCACACACCACATACACACAAAAGGGGCACGAGGAAACTTTTGGAAGTGAAGAATATGTTTACTACCTTGATTATGGTCATAGTATCACAGGTGTATGCATAAGTCCAAACTAATCAAATTGTATATAGTAAACGTGCGGTTTTTTTGTATATACCTCAGTAAAGCTGCTTAAAAAAATAAATAAATAATTCTTTGGGATTATAAAAAGCTGTAAAACACATCATTTTTTGTTAGTCTGTGAAAAAAAATCACGAAGGCTCCAGAGACTGTCAGTTTCTCTTTGGATTTATTCAAACCGAAAAAAGAATTCCATGTAAAGGCTGAGGAACCTTTGACAAAGAACAGAACAAACTTATAAAGAAAAAATTCTCCTCCTAGAAAAGACTCACTGTCAGTTACTATCCCAGTGGGAACTAAAATTTAGACTCTAGCTGAAAGAAGAGGATAGGGAAGGATAACTTTGATAGTGAACTCTTCTCTGGAAATCTTTTTAAAAGAAACTGTCATATGATGGTTTAAAATGGCAACAATTAGGGGCCGGCCCGGTGGCATAGTGGTTAAGTTCGCGCACTCAGCTTCGGTGGCCCGGGGCTCTCAGGTTCGGATCCCAGGTGCGGACCTGTGCACCGCTTGTCAGGCCATGCTGTGGCGGCATCCCACATGTAAAGTGGAGGAAGACTGGCACAGATGTTGGCTCGGCGACAATCTTCCTTAAGCAAAAAGAGGAGGATTGGCAATAGATGTTAGCTTAGGGCGAATCTTCCTCACCAAATAAATAAATAAATAAATAAGATGGCAAGAATTAGAGTCACTTCTTCATGATCACTTCCAGTTTGCTGATTTACAGAAACCCTCTTCAGTACTTTAAACTTGGAGTCAAGGCTCTGAATACAACTTATAACTAACAATACTCAGGTACCCAAGAACATATATTTTACACGGTATCTGCCATATTTCTATATAGAAAATGTGTAATTTTAAGAAGTTTTACTGTATTTCTTTTCCTTTACCTGTTTCTTCTTCTTTATATATTGTTCTTGCTCCCCATACTACATTTCAATCATTGTCATCTCTGAGCAAGACTTGTTTCTTTTTTTTTTTTTTTTAAAGATTTTCTTTTTTTTGGGAGGAAGATCACCCCTGAGCTAACATCCATACCAATCCTCCTCTTGTTGCTGAGGAAGACTGGCCCTGGGCTAACATCTGTGCCCATCTTCCTCTACTTTACATGGGATCCGAACCCGGACCGCCAGCAGGGGAGCGCGCACACTTAACTGCTACGCCATGGAGCCGGCCCCTGAGCAAGACTTTTTCAGTCATCTCGTAGGACACCCTTGAGATTTGACTTTCTTTATAAACCATGCTTTAAATGATCTTCCCTAAACGTTGTATTCAAGCATACAAGAAACAAAAACCTTAGCACCTATTTTCCACAAGTATAGGCATGGATACATAGTACTATTCAAACAAGTCTGAAGCTTCCTCTCCGTCCACTTCTTTCAATGCAGCCTTAGACCACCCACAACGGACTACCATTGCATTCCTGAAACACACCATGGACTTTCAAACACCTGTGCCTTTTGCCTATGTTCTTTCAGCCCGATTTCTTCCTTCTTTGGGTCAGGACTTGAAGACATGCTTTAATGTCCTCTCCTTTGTGACACTCTTCTTAATTCCCCCAGATGGGATAGAAGAGAACTGGAAAGGCAAGACTCAAATCTTATTCGTCTCTGCATCCAATATTCCAGCGAACCAAATAAATTGGTCCTTCTTCTGGAGGCCCTCAAACCTCAGCTTGCAATTACTCACCCCCTGCTTGGATATGATCTTTCAAATGTACTGTGGTGTTGGCAAACCTTGTGGGTAAAACTAAAATCTTATAGAAAACAGAGGTTGGGAGAAAAGTACAAATAATGATTATATATTTATACACATACAGAGAATAAAATTTCTAAAAGACCTTTCTTTCCTTTTATTTTTTTAAATTTTATTTATTTATGTTTTTGTGAGGAAGATTAGCCCTGAGCTAACATCTGTTGCCAATCCTCCTCTTTTTGCTGAGGAAGATTGGGCCTGGGCTAACATCCGTGCCCATCTTCCTCTACTTTATATGGGATGCCGCCACAGCATGGCTTGATAAGTGGGGCGTCTGTTTGCGCCTGGGATCTGAAACTGCTAACCCAGGCTGCTGAAGCAGAGTGCGAACCCAAGCACTATGCCACCGGGCCGGCCCCCTTTCCTGCTTTTATTGGTATTAAAATTTCTCCCACAATCATCTTCCTCTGCGATGTCTGTAATTTAGCAAAACGCCTGGCATATTGTAATGACTCAATAAAATTACAGCTAATATTATCAGAAAGTAGTATAGCATGATGTTTTCTCCATGCTTTGGAATTTTGACAGATCTGAGTTCAAGACCTGGCTTTGCAACTTACTAGCTTGAGGAGCCTTGGGCAAATTATTTCTGAACTTTAAGTTCTGTATCTTTAATAGGGGGGTAAAAAATGTGCCTATCACAGAATTTTTGTTAGGACTTTATGAAATAAATGTAAAAGTGCCTGGCAATCCATACATGTTAGCAATCATTATTCAACTTTTTAGAAACACTGTGAGGGTGACATGGTCTGCTGAAGGAGATTCACTGATGTGCAGCTGGAAATATGAATCTGGATTTCCAACCCAGACTTCTCTCCTGTAGAAATCCAGATCTGTATTTCCAAATGCTTCCTTGATACTTCTACTCATGATGTCCACTAGTCCCTCATTTTAAGTGTCCAAAGCTGAACTCATTATTTTCCCTTAAAACAAACCTGCTCTTCTTCCTATATTCCCAATCTCACTTAATGGTATCTACTATGAAACACAAGCTAAAAATCTGGAAATTATTTTAGATTCTTTCCTTTTCCTCACAGTCTATATTTAGCCAAGATTCCTCTTGACTCTACATCCATAAATATATGTAAAATCTGTTTCCAACTGTACCATCAAGCAGCCATTTTCTCTTGCCTAGATTAGACTGTTCATAATCACTTCTTCCTTTCTGATCCATCTTTCACACTGTTCAACATGAATTCTGATCATGCTGATCATCTTAAGGTCCTACAAATTACAAACTAGGTGATCTTCTGGATTCTCATAGCACTTTATACATATTTTTATAAATACCTAAATCATAATGGTATATATTGTTTTTACATTTGTTTCTCCTACAAGCTTATGAAACCCCTAAGGGAAGAGATGTCTTCATATGATTTTCTAGGACATAACAAAAGTGTAAGATATTAAATGAAGGACTCTATTGCATTTTAGGAAATACCATTTAATCAAAAGTATTCTGGTCCTTTCCAACACTCTGTCATTTCTAACCCACTTATGAGGCAATCTTATAAGCCACAGCTCTGTGAAAGACATGCAGAGTTAAATCCCTCCAGCACTGCCACTTCCTGGATATCTGTGCCAAAATACTGACATCTCAACTGAAATTTGCCACAAAGCATCTGAAATGAATATGGAAATAAATTCATTTCCTTTGCTTACTTGAGGCACCATTACCAGAAACCCTGCTCTTTAAAGCCTTGCATTTAGAATGCAGTTTTAGGAATCAGAACATCACTGGGCAGATCATGTGACTGACGAAGGAAGACACTGTGACCTCTGATACCCAATAACTGTGATCCTGACTGTTTGCCATATCCCTTCCATTTGAGACATTAATGACTGATATTAACCATCATCTAAAGAAACTGGGCTAAGGTCTTTGCACAGCAGGAAAGAAAAAATAAGACACAGAACTAAAATTAACTTTCAAATTAAATAATCAACATTTTGCTTTGCTTTAGAAGTTCACAGTAACCCTTGAAACTAATGTAGAAGAAAACCACAGGTGTGAATCACTGCCTGCAGCCTCATCCTAAAGTCAACAGAGATATTTTTTTTTTTAAAGATTTTTTTTTTTTTTTTTCCCCCCAAAGCCCCAGTAGATAGTTGTATGTCATAGCTGCACATCCTTCTAGTTGCTGTATGTGGGACACGGCCTCAGCATGGCCAGAGAAGCGGTGCGTCGGTGCACACCCGGGATCCGAACCCGGGCCGCCAGCAGCGGAGCGTGCGCACTTAGCCGCTAAGCCACGGGGCCGGCCCAACAGAGATATTTTTTAACTACTTGAAGGTATAAATAACTGCTAAGATGGAATAAAAAGGCAGCATTTCTAGCACAGAGTGAAATTTGAAAATTATAAATACCTGGTGATAACACATTTACAATCACCCAATGAAGTCAAAATTATTTCACTTAATTTCTTAATTTAGTCTTTCCCACCCTTTAGAAAAAAGTCTCCTGCTACAAAAAGGTAGAATATGAGAAAAATATGTCATTACAGTGTGAGTAACCTGAAAAAACTTGATTCCCTATTTTGTCACCCTCAATGTTACAAATAAGATTTCCATTATATCTAGATTAACTGGACTCTGAATATTAATCATGACCTATGGCATATGATTATAAAACAGAAAAACAAGATTCTGGCCCATTTCTTTGTACATACATCATTACACAAAGTTCAAGAAACCATGTGCTAATTTTTGAAGTTTACTCTTTTTTCCCAAGGGAGAAAACTAAATTAGGATTTAATATATATATTAAGAAATTAAGTACACATAACACTTATCTAAATTATTTTCCAATGCTGCTGTATCTCTCTCTTCCAAGTGCCAAACTACCCTAATTTACTTAGAAAAACGTTTATCCAAAAAAAAATTCTAGACGCCTGATATTCTGCTATAGAAGAAATGCATAAGCCCAACAGTAAAAAAAAATATACAAAAAAACCACAAAAAATCTCTGTTAGCACAGCAAATCATTCTGCCTTCTTTCGTTTTTTCTTTAAAAGGAAAATAAAAAGGTAGGGGAGAGAATTAAGCTGCAAAGACTGGAGGAATTTGCAAAACTTCTAGTGGAAGTCTATGACATAAATTTAATAACCTGGCAAGAACTATCACCGTGCACCGCAAATCAAACGGACAGCTGAGAACCACCGAGTACCCTACCTAACGCAGAATCCGGAAGTATTGTTAACTAAAATGCAGTCTTGGGGAACCTGACAATACTCCAGAGGCCCGGACAGTAGCCTAAAAGACGCCCCTGGAAGCGGCCTCACGCCTGCGGGTCCACAGACGGGGGCCTGAGGGAGTTCTAGCCCGCCGGAGGGCGGAAAAGGGGCGAGGAGGAGCAGATGCTCCTCTCCAGAAACCGTGCCAGCAGGTTTCCGTTCTTTAAAAAAGAAAAGTGACCCGCGCCCTCCATCCCGACCTCATCCTCTACCCGCAAGCTCCTTATGGACGAGGGAGATATGTAGCATCAAGGTTCTCTGGGGAGGGAGAGTCTGGGTCCCAAACACGGCGAAAGGCCCAGGGGCACGTCCCCTTCAGAGCCGGTGTGTCACCTGGAAGGGTGACCCCAGCCTGGGTGGCGCCTCAGCCAGACCGAGCGTCTCCCCTCCCCAGGTCCGCCGCCGTCACCTCCTGCTTCTCCTCCTCTTCGCCTACTCCTGCACTTTCCACGGCGGTGGCCGCCTCCTCGAAAGGTGCCAGCATCCCCAGCGCCCGCGCGCCACTTCCGCCTATGTGTCCCCGTGCGCGTGCGCAGTTGCACAGCTCCGCCCCCTCGCCCGCCTCCGGCCGCCGGCGGCGGAGTGGGCCCGGTCCCTGTCGCGCATGCTCTGTTCCCTCCGGGACGCGGGAAGAGCGCTGCCAAGGTGGGACCAGCGGTGCGAGGACGGCGCTTGTCTACCCACTAAAACTGGCGTGGGATCGGGGTTAACGTTCTCACCCTCCGATCGGTGCCCCGCTTGTTCCTGGTCTCCGAGCCTACGAGCCTCTGCAGCCCGCCGGCTTACAGCGGCCGGGTACTTCTCCGTACCCCCTGCCCCGTGGGCGTCCACGGCTGAGGAGACTTCCACGTCAACGGCCCTGCGCCGAAATTTGAGGAGGCCAAGTGGAGAATGTTGAACCAGGATTTAGAAACCCTTGGGGTTCCCTCTTCCCTCTACTTGATCCAAATGAGAGGGGGCAGTCACCGTACCTTACGCTGCTTCCGTATTCTTGCCTGACTCGCACCTGCTTTCTGGTGGAGGTGGACTGAAGTAACACTTGGGTTGCCCCTGCCGTTATAATTCAGCTTGTAGCTACAGCAACCCTGGTCCTTGCAACATGACTAAAGTGTCTCCAGCGTTTTTGACAGTACCACTTACTGCTCGGAATGTAAATCCCATAGCTTGACCAGCCATCAAAACTCCTAAACGTTTACCCTGCGTCTTGGGCAACATCTACAGTTACTAAGATGGAATGATGTAAAAACTAAGATGTGATAGGTGATGAGGTGTTTTTAGGTAACACTAAAATTGATATGGAAGGCAGAGATTACTGTAGCGAAGCTGGAACATTTTTGAGTACACGCTTTGGATATCCAGAAAGGGATGAATTGGATTCACATACGTTAGAATCCAGTCGGTTATGTACAGCTCTTAGAATTTCACAGGCATTAGACGGCAAGGGCGGCATTTGTGTTTTGTTTTGGGTATGAGGGTTTATATTGAAGCGCAGCAGATAGCTCCTACTGTAAGTGGTGGGTCTGGCTAGGCATTTTCATTTAATCTTTACCAACCTTCTTACGTCAATGTTATCAGCATTTCACAAATGTTGAAACTAAGGCTTAGAGAATTTAAATTTCCTAAAGAAATAGTAAATGACAAAACTTTTCAACAATGCCATACTGTTACCTGAATAATGTGCATTTAATACTACTGTTAGGCATTTAAAGAACTGTTATTTATCTAGCACCTATTAAATGGGCCTATGCACAGGTCACATACGTAATCCATAAATCACAAGTATGAGCTCCCTGCCCTCAAGGAGTTTTGGATACACATGAAAAGGTAAATGTTAGTATAAAACAACTCATAATACAAGAGGTGTCATAAGGTACCCTTCACTCATGTCTGGATAATTGCAGTAGCCTTCTAACAGGCTACTTTCTACTTCCCCTTTATTTCTTTATATCCAAATTCCATTCAGCAGCAGGAAGGACCCTTTTAGAATCCGTGACAGAATATACCATTCCTCTCTCAGAACCTTTTAATGGCTTTCCATTTTACTCAGATTGAAGTTCAAAACCCTTACTGTGTCTTCTAAGAAGGAACTTGACCTGGATGGACCACATCCACAGCTACTCTTTGAAGCCCATCTGATCCTCTCAAAGCATACCAAGCATCAGCACTCTGGACTTACTGTTCCTTCTGCATGGAATGCTGTCCTCCCAGATATACACAGCACATGCCTTCTCACTCTCTTCGGGTCACTGCTCAAATGTAACTTGATCAGAACATTTCTTCCCTGACTACCCAGTCTAGGAAAGCTACCCCCCCACCCCCCACACACATAGACACACTGTCCTCACTCTGCTTTACTTGTCTTCATAGCAGTTATGATCACTTCCCATATATTTACTGTTTACGTCTCCCCCACCTCTTTTGCCCTACTGGAGTGTTTGTTCCTTGAGAGCAGGGTTTTGTCTCATTTATTCACAGCTGTATCGCCATTGTCTAGAACAGAGTGCTTGGCACATAGTCTGGACTCAGTAAATACTTGGTGAATGAATAACTAAGATTTAAATGCCAAATGAGTGTCAAGATAGAGGTATGGAAATTCAGAAGAAGTAAAATATTGGCTGGAGTGGTTTATGAAAGCTTCCTTTGGAAGGCAGAACCTAAATGATGAGGAGGATTCAAATTGGCGGGGGGGTGGTTTGGAATGGGAGAAAGGGGAAGGAAGGGTGGTCTAAGCAGAGTCAACCAAAATAAACAGAGGCATTAGACAAGTCAGTAATCAGATCTACAGTAGTGCTAACATGCTGACCTCTAAAAGCATAACTGAAATAGGAAAACTGCTAATAGCTGATCTGTGAAAATTGACCTTGCCTCACCAAGGGCTAGTTTATCATTACCCTTTTTACCAGCAAATCCCATCCTTCCTAGATTGTATCTATCAAACTACTGTCAATTCCAGACTGACTGGCAAATATATTTAGAGAATAGTTGAAATTTGTTTTAAACGACAAAAGAAAACAATACTAAAAGTAACATAGAATTAAATAGTTAAATAAAGTATAAGTTACACGCACATTTTAAGATTTCTCATGTACACGAAAGACAAAATAATAGGGCATAAAAAACTAGCTGGATAAAATGTCCCTGTAATTCTCTCTGGAAGTCCAAAGGTATTTCTTACATACCAAGAAAGAAAAAAATCAAAGTTTTTACTTTCTAACACTATACCAATTTCAACTATGACAGTGCTTCATTATAAAGTTACATTTATTTAAATCTCTGTCATAAGCTTTTAAACCACTTTTTTGTGTACAAATTTATTTTATTTTTGGTTACGATAATTAGATAAGTGGGGACTAGTCATCGCTAATTTTCGTAAATCTAATCATAAAGATCAGCAAGACTTTTGAGCCTTTTTGATAATCAAAGGGTATTATGGGAAATGGTCTTTAGGAATCCAAGGAATTTTTGTATTAATTCAACTAAGCTAGTTGAATTAATTGCTTGATTCCCTCTAATATTGTAAGTATTTTTTAATGTAAGGTCAATGTTATGGGCTGAATTGTGTCCCCTCTCAAAATTTGTATGTTGAAGTCCTAGCCCCTAAGACCTCAGGATGTGACTGTACTTAGAAATAGGGTCTTTAAAGAGGTGAGTAAGTTAAAATGAGGTAATGAGGGTGGGCCTAATCCAATATGACTGGTGTCCTCATAAAAAGAGGAAATGTGGATACAGACACATACAGAAGGAAGACCATGTGAAGACACAGCCAAGGAGAGAGACCTCAGAAGAAACCAACCCTACCAACACCTTGATCTCCAACCAGCACTGTGAGGAAATAAACTTCTGTTGTTTAAGCCACTCAATCTGTGATATTTTTTTATGGCAGTACTGGCAAAGTAATACAGTCAGGGAAATATTTTTATGTGTCAAATGTGAGATGTACGAGAGACTATCTGGAGTAGTATTTATTATAGAGTAGGTCTTTAATAAATACTGATTCCGTTACATTACGGTCCATTTACCCCGTGACAATCACTGTGGTAAAACAAAATTAAAGATGTGCAGCTATGAATTATCAGCTTCTAAGAAATTAATAGTCCTGTTGTGTCAAAAGTCTTTGGTGTCCTGACTCATATTCTGAGCATCACCTCTGTTTTCTGACTTGGTTGGAAGGACAGTTTCATACAAGCTTCCACTCACTTTTCCCTGACAGCTTCTCTTCTCTAGCATTTACCAGGCCACTTTCCTTTCTGTCCTGAGGCTCTTCTGACTTTGCTGATGCCACCAACAGTAGCTCTATCAATTCACACCATGCACAGCTTTAAGTGTTGGTGAGTTCACACTCCTGGGTCAGCCCTCAACCAACGGGTGACAGTAGTGGGTGGATAAAGGCTCCTGCCTCTTACCCTTTAGCAAGACAGTTCTGTAAGGCCATTCTGGGTGCTCTCAAGAGGTCCTAGTGAGAGTGAGTTCTGGTCAACTACAGCAGCAACTTCAGTAACATACTCTGGTATCATCTTCTATATCTTTCTCCCCATTTCCTCACTGTTTCTCACTAGGATCACCTCCTAATGACCTAGCTACCCACAAGTAATTGTCTTAGATTATGCTTTTGGGGGAAACCAAGTAAGAAAATTGGTATAAAAACAAAGTCTCAAATGCAGCCCCTGAGGTCTTTGGAACTGGGTCATTCACTAGTCAGATGGTAACAGGAATACCTCCTATTGTGCTGTGGTATCACAATTACTAAGGCTCTTCTTACCTGTGGTGGAGAGAAGATAAAGATGAAACTGTCTGCATGGTAGCTTGGGCTCTCGATGGGAAAGGGGCAATGGTACTTATAAAGATGATAGAATTCACTAGCTTTATTTTTTTTTCTTAACTTTCATGGTTAGCCAGCTATCAACTCAGGGCTCACCATGAGAGCTGGAAAGCCTCCATATCAGCATTTACAGAGACCCTCATGTCTTGAAGCCACAGGATAGACTGCTAAACATCTGGTTCAGGATTTCATTATTAGAGTGGCAGAGCTGCAAAGGTGATTGAATATATATCCTTGGCAGGTCTCTATGTTAAAGTCAGGGTGCTGATTGGGGGTGAAAAGGACCCTGAGACCTAGGAAGGGGACAATTGTGTGGATGATCCTAGGAACCTTGAACCCCTAAATTACCTTGATCTTTTGTGCTGGTAGATGCAACCCAGCCCCTTTGTTCAAGGAGAACAACCTCCCGTCACCTGAAGACTATGAAAAGATTCCTCAGAGACAGGTGCCTGACAAGATCATGCTTGTCCTCAAGATCCACTCCGGCCTCCCTTCATTGCCTCCAGACTAAAAATGAGGGTCCGCTCTCAGTATAGCCTGAGTGGGGAAGTACAGTCCCTTCTCTGGGAGGAAACAGTTTTGTCACCCAAAGAATCACTAGATCCAGCTGATAAGAACTGGCAGCAACTTACAGAACACGTGCCAGAATCCGGGAGTGGATATTGCAGGTATTGGACTAGGGGTGGAGGGAGAAAGAGGACA